AAAAAAAAAAAAGAAAAGAAAACAATAAATGCAAAAGGAATGTAAGAGTAGGGGAACTTCAATGTGTTCTGAAATATACTGAAAAGATTTCATCAAGATTGGCCCTCACCTGCCTATTAACAACATCAGAAAAGAAAACAAACAAAACAAAGTAAATAAAAACATAAAAGGAATGGGTGCAGTAGCTCATACCTGTAATCCTAGCACTTTGGGGAGGATGAAGCAGGAAGACTGCTTGAGGCCAGGAGTCAAGACCAGCCTGGGCAACATAGTGAAACCGTATCTACAAAAAAAAAATTAGCCAAGTGTGGCAGCATGTGTCTGTAGTTCCAGCTACTTTTGGGAGGCTGAGGCAGAAGTATCGCCTAAGACTAGGAGGTCAAGGCCACGATGAGCCCTGATCATGCTACTGCACTCCAGACAGGGCAACAGAGACTCCAACTCAAAAAAAAATCCACCCTTGAGCACCTTTTTTAACATTCTTTGTGATAAAACACTTTCTGTTGCTTTAAAAGTATGAAAAGTATGACAGTTACTGGAGGAAAAGCATTTGTATTATTAAGTTAGGAGCTGGACTAGTCAATCTTTTCATAAAACACCATTTCTATGTAAAAAAACAACTGACAGATTTGGTATCTGGCAAAAATTTTCTGAAAAATGAATAAGGTGAGCCTGTCACTCAAGGAGAACTGACAGTATTTTTTAGCAATAAAATGTGAGCTTTCAATACAAAAATTAGAATCTTATAAATTTTATGTAGGTCACTGTTACCTTGATAACCTCTTACTTTTTTTTTATAAGATAGGTAGTGATAGTAAAGAATGTGATTTTTTAAATACTGTATAACAAAACATGTCAGTATTTAGAAGATGTACAGAAATCAGTGAACCAATACTCCAAATGACCAATGCATGTTACAAAAGCAGGCAAGGGTTAATAAAATACTCCTAGCCAAGACAGACCACTGGACTTTAGTAAACCAGAGTGCAAAAAGATCATTGATATGGTTTCCAAATCCACACTGCAACTAATCTTTAAAAAAATACTACTTGCTGAGTTTTGGTATATCAAAGAATAGCCACAATTATCTAAGAAGGTTATTAAAAAGACTCATCTCTTTTCCAACTACAAATCTGTGTGAGGCTGGATTTTCTTAATAAACTCAACCAAAACAAACACTGCAACAAAACAGGTATGAGTATCCAGATATTAAGTAGAATTGCAAAAATGTAAAAGAAAGTCACTCTTCTCACTAAATCTTTTTGGTCTTAGAAAACAGTATTTTTCACAAACAAAAAGAAAGTTCATTATGTTAACATGCAATGTTATTTTTTTTTAAGTTTTTTTTCCTTTATTTCAATAGCTTTAGGGGGTACAAATAGTTTTTGGTCACATGGCTGCATTATTTAGTGGCGAAAAAGTCTGAGGTTTAAGTAAGTATTTTTGATGAACAAATAAACATGCAAACTTTGGAGTCCTCAGACCAAACAGTATGAGAATCACTGGACTAGAGAAAACAGAGAAAAGGATGATCAAAAACATAAAAACAAGAGGACATGAATTTCTAGATTTAATTGCAAACTGCTATAGCTGTATCAGGTACAGAGGAGGAAGGAAAGAGTGTGACTACAAAAACAGACAGAGCAGGGCTCGGTGGCTCAGACTGTAATCCTGCACCTTTGGGAGGCTGAGATGAGTGGACTGCCTGAGCCGCAGGTTCGAGACCCGCCTGGACAACTTGGCGAGACCTCATTTCTACAATAAATCAAAAATTAGCCGGGTGTGGTAGCATGCGCTTGTAGTTCCAGCTACTTGGAAGGCTGAAGCGGAAGGATCGCCAGAGCCCAGCAGGTCAAGGCTGCGGTGGTCGGAGAGGCCACTGCACTCCAGTCTGGGTGACAGAGTGAGACTACAACTCAAAAAAAAAAAAAAAAAAAAGACAGACAGGGCCAAAGGAGTAGTAAGACAATCTCAAGAGAGGTAGGTATAAGCAAGCACTTGAAAGACTCGAAAAAAAGTCACATCTCGCTCCATCTTCCACATTCAGAAGCCAAAAGACAATATCTAAAACTGCAAAACCGAGAAAGAGCAGCATAAACATTATTTCAGAAATTCAGAGGTAAATACCTAGGGAAAGCTACAAGAACTGACAGCTGTTTTTGGAGAATGAGTCTGAAGTTGGGAGGCACAGAGGCACTGCTATTTTTTTGGACAAAAATCTTAAACTATTGTTTACTTTTTAGTTATGGTCATGTACTACTTTAATAGAAATTAAACTTTAACAAATCTAGCAATGCAAACCTCAACTTTTGTTACTTTGATGAAAGTCACAAATCTATACACAAGAAAAATGACCTCATCTCTGAAAAGCTGCAAGTCAAGACATCTCACAAAGCATGCAACAGAACAATGAAGAGCTGACATTAACACTTAGGAATGCTCCAAGACTACAGAGGTAATGGTGCATGGTGGGAGGACAAGAGGGAAGGTAATAAGCTAAGCATTTACACATGCCATCTCTCCAGTGTAACTGAAACCATATTTCCATCTGTCAAGGGGCTTTGTGCATCACAAAGGCAAGTCTATCTCTAGTAGCCCAGCTAGGAACATGCTGGTCAGCCCAAGGAACCCTGTCTAAGAATCAGAGCGCCCACAGCATCCTTCACATGCTTAGCTACTCTTCAATCACAGAGGAAGTACCAGGGGAGTAACAGCTGAGGCCTGTACTTTTGTACATCCTTCTAGTACTTTAAGTTCTCAAACCTGTAAACGCCATGACATTAAAAACAGGGTAGCTGAAGGTCTCAACATGTGTAAAGAAAACTTAGTCCAATTTAACTATAAGTATACTAACTCTTACCGAAAGAAATGTTTCAATGTTCTCATGAACAAAGGAAGCAATGTCCTGCCAGTCCAGAATGTCTCCCAGCCAGCTATTCTGACGATTGACATGCAACTTGTGTCCTTTGTGCCTTCCAGAATGTGTTACATTCTATGGAATAAAACAGTTCAGATGTGAAATTTCCATTTTAACTTAAAGAACATAAGTATAAAAGTCCCATTGTGCTTCAGATCTACTTAAGCACTTCAGAAGGTAGTCAAAAGTGAAACACTGCATTATTTAAGAAATAAGCTAAGAACTCCATCTAAAGACCTAAAATATAATATTCTTCTGCTTACATTCTAATCACCTGTATGAGCCTTGTTCCAGTGTTTCCCTCCGAAATACATTTGTGAACACACCTTATTCCTCAATATCTGCTACAGTACACTAAACACAGCATACACTTTCATTTTTTTTAACTTTTGGCCCCTCCATCTTCCTCTTGGTCTTCCATCTTTGTTTTTTTCCTCCTTTCTTCATATCTCATATTAATTTTCCATATAAGACCAAGATAGCAAGGGAGAGAAGAAAATGACAAATTAACAAGAGTAGGAAGGGAAACTGAATTAGTGTATCTGGAAGGATTGGCAGAGATGCAGGAATAACTAAATTTGAAACAGACATGAATAAACAAAGTGACAGGCAAGGCTAAAATTAAGAGGTAAGTTCTTAATATTTTCCATGTGTTTCTAATCTCCCACTTTCGTTAATGGAATAGTGATATTAATCTCCATTATGCAGTACAGAAAGACATTAGGCCCTAGTCAAAGAGGTAAAGACAGCAACATAGTTGTAGCTCCATAGCCATAAGTTCTGCATCGATAAATTCAACCAACTCTGGACCAAAAACACCTGGGAGAAAAAAAAAATTCCACAAAGTACCAAAGCATAAAACTTGAGTTTGCCATATGCTGAGTACTATGTTGAAAATACTGTATATGGTGATGTACAAGCATTGTGTTAGATATTGTAAGTAATCTAGAGATAATATAAATTGCGTGGGAAGATGCACCTTATATGCAAACATGTCATTTTGTATAAAGGACTTGAGCACCCCTGGATGTCCTTCAACCAATCCCCCACAGATACTGAGGGACGACTGCACTTCACCACTTATAAGCCTATGTTTTTATGAGACTGACCTTCCTCTACCATAAAATGAAGCTCAAGGGGTGAGGGAATGGTAAAAGCTATTTGTCTGTGAGCAGAAGCCCAAGAGTTAGCAGTGGAAGTAGATACAACCTTTCTAATTATCTGTTTCTTCAGCAGATGGGATCAAATCTACAATACTCACCTAGATATTCCCTAGGTATTATTTACCAGTCTTAGAAACATACAAAAACCAACAATGTTCCCTCGACTCATCCCCAGGAAGAGTGCACAGTCCCAAACAGGTCATTAAGCAACAAAGTCAAATTTAAAATCAGCTCTTCTCCCCCTCCAGCCCACATTGAGAGATTTATGTATGTATTCCTGTTCTCCTTTCATCAACTCTAGGAAAAATCACCACCAACTCTGCCCACTGGATACACAGCACAGCTCCTGCCCTGTCAGATCTAGTGTACAGGATAGCTTGGCATAACCAGTTGTTTTTAAACCATCATTTATAAACTTAGTAAAAAATGATATTATTTTCCATCAAAAATTCTGAAGTAACATAAACACAAGCAGCATACAAGTTTCATTTAAAATAAAGATCTCAGCCAGTTACAATAGCTCATGCCTATAAGCCCAGCACTTTGGGAGGTTGAGGCGAGATCACTTGAGGCCAGGAGTCCAAGAACAGCCTGTGCAACGTAGTAAGACTTCATCTCTCAAAAAGTTAAAATAAAAAAAAAATTAATTGGGAGTAGTGGCTTTCACCTGAACTCCCAGCTACTTGGGAGGCTGAGGCTGGAGGACTACTTGAACCCAGGAGTTCAAGGTTGCAGTAGGCTATAATCACACCACTGTACTCCTGCCTGGGCGACAGAGTGAGACCCTTTCTCTAAAATAAAAACATATGGCTACTGTGCATTGAAATGTGACCAGTTCAAAAACTGAGATGAGCCGGGCTCGGTGGCTCACCCTGTAATCCCGCACTTTGGGAGGCCGAGGTGAGTGGATTGCCTGAGCCCACAGGTTCGAGACTCGCCTGGGCAACTTAGCAAGACCTCATCTCTACAATAAATCAAAAAATTAGCCAGGCATGGTAGCGCACCTGTAGTTCCAGCTACTTGGAAGGCTGAGGCGGAAGGATTGCTGGAGCCCAGCAGGTCGAGGTTGCGGTGGCCGGGAGCAGCCACTGCACTCCAGTCTGAGCCACAGAATGAGACTCCAACTCAAAAAAAATAAAAATTAAAAAAAAAAAACTGAGATGTACTGTTGGTATAAAATGCATACTAGATTTCAAAGACTTAGTGTGGGGAAAAAGCAAAGAATATAAACCATCTCATTATTTTTTCTATTGATTATATAATAATAGTATTTTTGGTACACTGGGTTAAGAAATTATTAAAGAGTTAAAATAGGTAAAATTAATTTTAATGTTACTAGAAAAATTAATATTAATATTACATATGTGCCTTGTATTACATTTCTCCTTCACAGAACTATTCTAAAGGATGAGATGTCAATGATAATGAACAATGGATGGAATACTGCTACACCAGAGAGACTGACAGGTTCTACCACGGAGACTAACCATCAACTCAAGTTGGCTTACAGTGAGTGACGCTTAAAATCACACTGTTTAAAAATTTCAGTGATGGCCAGGTGCAGTGGCTCATGCCTATAATCCCAGCATGTTAGGAAGCTGAGGCAAGAGGATTGCCTGAGCTCATGAGATCGAGACCAGCCTGGGCAACTTGGCAAGACCTCATCTCTACCATAAATCAAAAAATTAGCAGAGCGTGGTGGCGTATTCCTGTAGTTCCAGCTACTTGGAAGGCTGAGGCGGAAGGATCACCTGAGCCCAGCAGGTCGAGGCTGCAGTGGCCATGAGTGTGCCACTGCACTCCAGCGTGAGCAACAAAGTGATACTCCAACTCAAAAAAAAAAAAAAATGCAATGATATCCCAATGTGACTTCCATCCTATCTAGGCAATGATTCAATATAAGGACTTTATTTGTTTATAATGGAAAGCCTTAGCTAAAATAACTTACCTTAACAAACCAAGAGTGATACAGTCTATCCCAAAGTTCCAGCACTTGCTTTTCAATTACAGCAGTATTGTTCATCTTATCGCCTAGAATTTTATGAAGCTAGAGGAAACAAGATATGACCTGGTTTAATATTTCAGGCAACAATCCAATAAAATTAATACATGCTGGATCTTTACATTTGTTCCAAATCACACTATCATGTTCCAGACTATTTAATTATCTCTGGCCACATTGTGTTATTTTTTTAAACTCTACTCCTCAGTATTACTAGTAAATTTCCTCTCTTTTTTCAACTTGTTGCTTCTTTCTTCTATACTCTATTCTCAGATCTCTAAGAGAACTACCAGAGGCTACCAGAATAATGCAGTTGAAGTCTTGATTACTGACTTACCTGATCTTATCTGCCCAGAGAAAAATTCTTTCCCTGTGGCCACAGTGCCCTCTGTTACACATACGTATGATACATTTATCTTTACTATTAAAAGTTACCACAAAACTTTAAGGAAAATTTTAGCACCTTAGCTATATACTAAGACCTTCCCTCAGTTTGCATGCTGAGAATTATCAGGTTTGAGATAGTTATGACTGTGCAGACAGGCTTCTGGATTTCTGGGAATCAAGTACATTGAGACAATATAACTTAGAGGAAGGCAACTCATTATGCTATCTTATCCCACTTACTTGGTATCAAAACCATACTGTTATATAAAAGACACCTTTTTGAAAGCAAACACTGATTTGTAGTCCCACTTCATTAATACAACTGTTTCCATTTATTCTATTTCCTCTGCAACTTTCTGCCTCTTTACATAGAGATAATTTAGAATTCTGTATTTTTCTTCTGCATTATAAGCATTTCAACTTTAGCCCTCCTCACTAGCTTTCATCTTTATTTGTAATGCTTTTATATTAGATCATTAAATTCTGGTATTATGTAATCACTACTCACATATAGATGATTCCCAATTTTTAATGTTACAAGTAACATTTCAATGGCCATCATTATACATAGTTTTTTAATTACTAAGATTAAATAAATGTTCAGGAAGCAAAGAAAAGAAGCTTTTTTTTTTAGTTGGAGTCTCACTCTGTCACCCAGACTGGAGTGCAGTGGCATGCTCCCGGCCACCACAGCCTGGACCTGATGGGCTCTGGTGATCCTTCCGCCTCAGCCTTCCAAGTAGCTGGAACTACAGGTGTGCGCTACCACACCCCGTTAATTTTTTATTTTATTATAGAGATGAGGTCTTACCAAGTTGCCCAGGCTCAGGCAATCCTCAGCCTCCCAAAGCGCTGGGATTATAGGCTGAGCCACCAAGCCTGGCTGAAAAGAAGCATTTTAATAAGCTCTTGCATGCACTAAGTTGTCTTCTATGGCTCGGTGGCTCAGCCTGTAATTCCGCGCCTTTGGGAGGCTGAGGTGAGTGGATTGCCTGAGCCCTCATCTTGGCCTCATCTCTACAATAAATCAAAAAAATCATCCGGGCGTGGTAGTGCATGCCTATAATTCCGGCTACTTGGAAGGCTGAGGCGGAAGGATCGCCGGAGCCCAGCAGGTCGAGGCTGCGGTGGCTGGGAGCGGCCACTGCACTCCAGCCTGGGCGACAGAGTGAGACTCCAACTCAAAAAAAAAAAAAGAATTATACCAATTAGTACTTTCCATAATTATATGATTGAACCAATTTTCTCAAAGCTTTATGGACTGATAATTTTTTAGGTAAATTAATAGGTGTGAAATGTAGCTAATTATTTATTCTGTTATTCTTTAGCAATGCAAGAGTGACTCTTTTCCCCTGTTAGTTTACAATTGCATTTCCATTTGATGTTGGCCTTATAAGTACTTGAACAAGTTATCTGACATATTTGATATGAAAACATCTGCCCAATGTTTTCCTTTATACTTAATTGATTTACTCATAAACCAAAAAAAGGTAATCTACTTTTGTAAAGTGTTTTATAATTTACAAATGCCTTTCACCCACAAAATGTCACCTTTAAAACAACCCCAAGAGTTAGAGAAAAAAAGATTTTGTCATCCTTTGTTCTTAGACAGATTTAGGAAGGATGTATGACAGTCCCAAGGTCATGGAGCTATGTGGCAGTTGGGATCAAAAATCCTCTAATGTGCTCAGCCTGTAATCCCGCGCCTTTGGGAAGCTGAGGTAAGTGGATTGCCTGAGCCCGCGGGTTCGAGACCCGCCTGGGCAGCGAGACCTCATCTCTACAATAAATCAAAAAAATCAGCCCGGCGTGGTAGCGCATGCCTGTAATTCCGGCTACTCGGAAGGCTGAAGGGAAGGATCACCGGAGCCCAGCAGGTGGAGGCTGCGGTGGCCGGGAGCGGCCACTAAACTCCAGTCTGGGTGACAGAGTGAGACTCCAACTCAAAAAAAAAAAAAAAAAATCCTCTAATGTTTTTTCAAATACAGCATCTATAACCTATAATAAAGAAAGAACATCTAACAGAGTAAATTACCCAAAATGGTTAAAAATCATAATTACCCACTCTAATTTCCTTTGGTTACTTTAAATTTATCTTTTATATACCATGACTATTAGACATTCACTGAATTCCTATTGCCAATTTTCCCTATCATTCTCTTATCAGCTTCTCAGATCTCCCTAACTAGAAAAGGCCTAAAATTGTCACAGCCTCTGCTCTAGGTTGTTCACACACAGTGGCCTTTACTGCAGTTAAGCACTATTTCAAGCTGGCTTCTCTTTTAGCAGTCTCACTCTTAGCATAGCAGTAAACAATCCTAAAGTATCACAACTACTAAAATAAAAAAGAATTCTGCATGTTATAAAACACTCTTTCCAAAACTGTGGTGCTATCAACTATACCAAGAATGTTACAGACCCAGAATACTAGACAACTGCAACTTCAATATATGTTGCAAGTTCAGGAAGATGGGCCAGAAGTACTGGGTCTAGGAGCTTATTACTGCTATAAGAAGAATCACTAAAGCAACAGGTACTGTTGGTGTTACATGACATGCCTCTGCATACGAAAGGCAGTCAAGCATTAAGAGTAGTCAAAATGCCACTTGACTTCCATCTAACTTAAGGCAAATAACCTCATCCATAAAATGGAAATAAAAGTCAGTGGGCAATTCTCTGTTCTCATCTTGCTTAAAATCTCAGCAGCCTGTGCCAAAGCTGGCCAAGTCTTTCTTGAAACAGTTCCTTCTCTAGCCTCCTATGACACAGGCCTGGTTCTCCTTCTACCTCACCAGCTACTCTTTAGTCTGCTGGCTCAGTTAACTGAATTCCAACAGATCAGGGCTCCAGGGAACTATCTTTGATCCTCTTCTATTTATACTCTCTTCTTAGACCATATTATGGGCTAAACTGTGTCCCCCTAAAATTTCATATGTTACAGTCCTAACCCCCAATATCTCAGAATGTGATTGTATTTAGAGATAAGGTCTTTAAAGAGATAATTAAGTCAAAATAAGGTCATTAGGGTAGGACCTTCCACTATGACTGGTGTTCTTGTGAGAGGAGGAAATTAGGAAATAATTAGACACAGAGGGGTAATCATGTTAAGACATAGGAAGAAGGCAGTCATCTGTAAGCCAAGGAGAGAGGCCTCAGAAGAAATCAACCCTGCCAGTACGTTGGTTTTTGACATCTAACCTTCAGAGCTGTAAATATATTTCTGTTGTTTAAGCTATCCAGCCTGTGGTGCTTTGGTATGACAGCCCTAGCAAACTAAGAGGCCATCTCATTCAATCCTATGGGTACCATCTAATGATTCTCAAATTGTCACCTACAGCCCACCCAGATTTCTCCCCCGAGCTCCAGCTATGGATGTCCAATTGCCTTCTCGGCATCTCTACTTAAATACCTAATAGGCATCTCAAGCTTAGCATGCCCAAACACAATCACCAGTCTACCCACCTAAAACCCACCACCACCTCCAAGTCTTTTCCATCTCTTCAAGTGGCATAGCTATCCTTCTGGCTGGGCAAACCAAAACTTCCTTTCCTAACACTCCATGTCCAATCCATGGGCATCCTATCAGCATAATTGATAGGAATTGAGGTAATTTCTATCAGCATAACCTCAAAAATATATCCCAAATCTGACCATTTTTCACAATGTCCATTTCTACAATCCTAATCCAAGCCATCAATACCTCTCTCTCCCGGACTATCAGCATAACCTTTTATGTGGCCTCCTTCCCTTCTTTCTTACCCCCTTCTCCATAAAGCAGCCAAAATGAGCTTTCAACATTCCAGGTCAGGTCTTTTAAAATCAATATGTTTACCTTTGTAACTAAAATACAATCCCAACTTCTTGTCATGGCCACTGGCTTGTCTCATTGCCTTATTCCCTATTCCAGCCTTCTTTCTGTCCTTCCCCATACCTGTTAATGTCTCAGACTCTGAATTTGCTATGCCCTCAGCTTGAAGCATTCTCTTCCCAGATATTCACAAGTTGCTACCTTCTCATCATTCAAGTTTTAGTGAAAATGTCACCTTCTCAGAGACTTTCTCTGGCCATTCTACCTAATACATCAACCCAGGTCACTCTCTACCACATTACTCTGATTCCTCATAACAGCACCTATTAGCACCTGCCATTTTTATTTGTTCACATATTTAATGACTGTCTTCTCTCATCACAGTCTAAACTCTGGGAGGGTGGTAACTTTCTGGTTCACTGCCTTTCCCCCAACACTTAGAAAACTGTCTGACATGTTTATGGACTGGCTGTCATTTTCTTCATTGTAGTCACGGGACAAGGAACAGAGGAAACATATTACTTATTGTCGTGCTGTCCCAGGGCAACATCTCCAGGTACAACTCTTAGAAAGGGCATACACCAAGCAAAAAGGTTAGCTCAAACAAGAATGCTGAGTAGGGAAAGCAAACTGGGAGGTCTGAGTAAGACTCAAACAATCCGTAAGAAACAAGGGAGACAAGGCTAAGTCAGCAGGGGGCAGATAAACAGGAATCCTCTGTGTTTTTACTTGAATGCATCCTAAAAAGCTCTTCCCTTTCTGGGCATAGCACTCTTCCCTAGCTTCGGCTTCTCAAGACTGTAGCTCTCATGATCCAACTGTTAAATGATTCTTAGTTGGATAAGATCTGAGGCTCATTAGAAAGCTATCTCTGCAGTTTTCAATGTTGTCTTCAACAACTTTATTGAGATATAATTCATATACCTTACAACTCATCCTAAGTAAACAGTTCAATGGTTTTTGGTACATGTACAGTTATGCAACCATCACCACAATTCATTTTAAAACATTTTCATTTCCAAAAAGAAAACTCATGCCCACTAGCATTCACTTTCCTATTATTCCCCAATTCCCCTTACTCCTGGAAACCAATACTCTACTTTCTGTCTTTATAGATTTCCCTCTTCCGGACATTACATACAAATAGAATCATACAAACTGCTTCTTTTACTTAACATAGTTTTCAAGGTTCATTCATGCTGCAGCATTTATCAGTACTTCATTTATTTTAATGGCTGAATAATTTCCACTGCATAAATATACACCTTTTGGTTTATCCATTCATTAATTGATGAACGGTTGTGTCTTCTAAATCAGGACCACAAATATTTATAATTTTTATTATCAATGTCCATCTCTCTTTAGCTGCCTTCTTTTTACAATTTGAGCAAAAGGTTTCATATGCTTATCTTTTCTCTAAGTAATTTGAAATCTACTACTTTAAAATCTAAGGCACATTTCTCCAACTAACCAAAATTCCCTTTCATTAACCTCTCCCCCAAAGGTAAGAATTCCCATATAAAAATTCCTCCCAAATAGGTAAGTCACTTATCTTTCACTTTTTCAATAATTTTTTTTAAATACCTGCATGCAATAGTTGATTAAGTCATCTAGGATTGGCCTATGAAAATCAATAACACAGCTTTCTCTCAACTTCTCTTTCTTTCTCTCTTTTTTTTTTTAAGGCAGGATCTCTCTTTGTCACTCAAGCTGGTACAACCATGGCTCACCACAGCCTCAACCTCCCAGGCTAAAACAATCTTGCTGCCTCAGCCTCCTGAGTAGCTGGAGTTACAGATGTACACTACCACACACAGTTAATTTTTAACTTTTTTTTTGAGACAAGGTCTGATTTTGTTGTCTAGGTTGGTCTCTCTCAACTTTTAATTTGACTGATTCCATCTTTACACTGGTAGATTACCATGTATGTGTGTACAGTGTATTTTCTATAATATCTTTTTTGTTGTTGTTGAGATTTTGTTTTTGAATTTTGAATAAGGAATCAAATACAAATACATTTTTCTGGGCATAAGTCTCACTGCAACAAATCCCTACTTATTCCTAATTACTTTAGTTTATTAAAAGTACAAATTACTGGCTGGGTTCAGTGGCTCGGCCTGTAATCCCAGCACTTTGGGAGGCTGAGACAAGTGGATTTCCTGAGCCCGTGGATTCGGGACCAGCCCCAGCAACTTGGCGAGACCTCGTCTCTACAATAAATGAAAAAATTAGCCAGGCGTGGTAACTAGTGCCTGTAGTTCCAGCTACTTAGTGGAATGCTGAGGTGGAAGGATCACAAGAGCCCAGCAGGTTGATGCTGGGTTGGCTGTGAGTGTGCCACTGCACTCCAGCCTGGGCGACAGAGTGAGACTCTGACTCAAAAATAAATAAATAAGCAAAAGAAGAAGAAAAAGTACAAATTACCTTTACTCCTACATGCAATACTAGGGGGAAAAGGGGTATCCTTTTCTTTTCTTTTTTTTTTTTTTTG